TATCGAGAAGCCGACCGTCCAGTAGCAATGGCAAACTACTGGACGTAATGTATGCTTAGAAAAACGACATTATCCAAAACATGCTGCGGTTAGTTCCGCAATGTCTTGTATAGGATACACAACTAACTCTTTTTTTTTTTTTTAAACTTTAAAAACAAACACTGTTCGCCAGGGTCAACCCAACAGAGGAAACAAATGCAAGAAAAATGCAATTTACAGAATACCAAGCACGGTTCGTTGTCAAATTTAACACTGCAAGTTGGTTCTTTAGGCAATTTACACACTCTTTCTGTATGTAGCCTTTATCGAGAGCAGTGTATTTCTGTATAACAGGTGATTTACATCGTGTCCTTTAGTATATAAAGCACAAATTAACAACAGTTAAGCATTATCTGTGTGAGACTGCTAGTGTAAGATCGTGTGTACTAACTTCACTGCATACGGAAATGTAGGCAGAGAATTACGCAATAGCACATTCCTCGTGATTTCTACAAACTTAGTGTTGAGAAACCCTTCAAGGCACGGAATTACACCTGAGAAATTTAAGAAAGTTAAGAAGTCGTGCTGACTAGTCTAAGGCATTTGTTTAACATAATTTTTTTAATTAAAATGAAAAAAAAAAAAAAAAAAAAAAAAAACTAGAGGGAGGATGGTAGGAAATAAAAACATACCTTGAAACCGATGCCAGGATCCCCGTGTAGACGGCAGCCTCTCTAGTTCTCGAGTTATCAAAACTGACGTAACAAGCACAGGAAGAAAACACCAGCTTCTGAGGATGTGGTCGGTACAGGTAGGCCGGCTGCCAGCACAGGTAACAGTTAGTGTTACCGCAAAATGGAAGGAAACAGTTGGCTTCTATTAGTGAGCAGGGAAGTACGGTGCGCTGTTTTTTTTTTGGGGGGGGGGGATGGGAAAAGGGGGGGGGGGGGTAAAGAAGATGACAAAAACAAGCAAAGCAGAAAGAGAAAAGTAGCAAGAAAATGATCATAGTTGTCGAATACCTGAGTGAAGCGTGTCAAAAACAAAGAACAGTTACTGTTTTTTGTTTTTGTTTTAAAAATACCGAGCCGATTAACGACCAATATCATTGCGGCTTTTTTGGTTTCATTTACTCTCATACACCTTTAGGTAAATTCCTGGGCTCAAGTTTGTTGGTAAACACAAACGGCCCCACTGCTTCACACACACACACACACACACACACACACAAAACAATCAAAAGGGTTTGCTGAAATCGGTTGTGCTGGCCGCAGATATCACACTCTAGCTGTAAATCACAAGACAACCTTTCTTTTATGTACACAGGCAGAACATTTCCACACACACACACCCACCACACACACACACACACACCACACCACACACACCACACACAACCACACACACACACACACACACACACCACCCACCCACACACACCACAACAACCACCCCCCCACCCCACCCCAACACCACACCCCCCCACACACACACACCCACACCCACACCACACACACACAACACACACCCCCCAACACACAACACACACCACACACACACCCACACACACACACACACACACCACACACACACACACCACACACTACCACACAACACACACAACACACAACACCACACACACACACACACACACACACACACACACACACACACACAACACACACACACACACACACACCACACCCACACACACACACACACACCACACACACACCCCACACACCCAACACACACACACACACACACACACCCACACACACACACCACACAACACACACACACACACACAACACACACACACACACACACACACACACACACAACACACACACACACACACACACACACACACACACACACACACACACACAAACACACACACACACACACACCACACACACACACACACACACACACACAACACACACACACACACACACACACACACACACACACACACACACAACACACACACACACACACCACACACACACACACACACACACACACACACACACACAACAAACAATCAAAAAGGGTTTGCGATTAGCGTTGTGTTCACTGTCGCGGGTTCCGAAGTGGATTAATGCTTTTGTGATGAATAGGAGTTTACCTCTCAACACTTCACCTCCACCAGACAAACTAGACTAATATCCGAGCTTTGTTGATCTCAGACAAAGTCCTGGATATCCAAGAAAACAGCCATTTTTGGCTCGTCATGTAAATACACAACAGCTGCACTCGGTACCCACAGGAGTAGGAAAAGGGATAGATAGATAGATATCAAGATGAACCCAATGGGATAATATCAAGATACACAGTGAACCCCTCCGACTTTCTCCTCTCCTGGTATAAATAATTAAAGAGCTCCCACCAAATGTAACTTTATCTAACTGTTTAGTTAAACAGACTGAATACACTTGGAATTTAACAAACGATGTTGTATAAAACTTGACATAACAGCTTTATTTACTAACAATCATTTAAATGAAATTCGCCAGTTTGCAAGGTTTACACAAGCAGTGACTGGCTGAATGCATGATAGTGATGAGACGCTTCAGCTAGAAAACTGAGCACCTGGGATTAGAGTGGTGATAAGTTTACGAAAACGATTTTGACGTAACTTATAAACCTCTGACAGCCACGAGTCACTGTCAAGCTTTTCCACCTCTTCCAGCTTCCTCCCAACCGGTTCCCCGCCTGTTCTCTGCCTGTTCCCAGCTTGCCGATCTCCCACAACGTAGGTTCATGCATGTGACCATCTAGTTCTATTAGAGCAGACGTCTTCACCCCGACGGGAGCTGTGAAACAAACACATATGTGTAGTATATATACTTACACTAAGCATGCATATATACCATAATATATATATATATATATATATATATATATATATATATATATATATCATATATATAATATATATATATATATATCTATATATAGATATATATATATACATAACATCTCTCCTCCTCATCTTCCACATTCTCTCCAGTCTAGTCTGAAGGTCTTATGTCTCACATTGACGTCACATATCCTGCCTTCCCTCTCATGTACTGTCATGATAGTTGACTTCCTAAGTCTGCTGTCCGTCTTCACTCAGACTTCCAAACTGGCTGACATTGTTTTTACATGAACATGTTGAGCAGGATAAGTGCTGACAACCCAAACCATT